TCTCGTAGGTTTTTACAGCTGAAGTTATGGATACTTATCTTTCTGGCCCTGGAACCCTGGGCCTGGGGCGGGATTGGGACCCTTTGCTTCCAAGATACCCCTCCTGATTTTTATCCACCACACGTGGGTGTGGGACCAGCCCGTCTGCATCTCCGCCCCTCCAACTTGTCTCAGTATGGTTTCTTCTTTAATTCCATAGTTGTAGGCCTTCCATTCAGCTCAATTTCTGATGTTCTGGATGGTGGTGGTTCTACATGTTGTAATTTTGATGTGGTTCTGGGAGGAGGTGAGCTGTGTTTACCTATGCTACCATCTTGACTGGTAGTGCTACAGTTCTTTATAGGAATTATTCTTTTGGAGAGGCTCTGGGGAGTTGTGTCCCCCATCTCACATGTTCATATGTTGCACAGCTTATCTGTTGGCCTTGTGGTCACTTATATATAGAACTGGTGGATCTAATTTTTGCTTTTAGTTAATCTGACATTTATAGCTTCCTAATTATTTTCTTTAGCCTCACCCAAGGACATTTTTTCATTGCTTTTAGGGAGAGAGGGAGAGAGATAGAGAAACATGGATGAGAGAGAGACATTGATCAGTTGCCTCCCATATGCATGCCATCCGAGGCTCGAACCTACAACCTAGGTACACGCCCTGACCAGGATCGAATCCACAACCTTTCAGTGTGCAGGCTGATGCGCCAACCAACTAAGCCACACTGGCCAGGGCTACACAGCTTATCTGTTGATTGACAAGTAAAGCAAACTAAAAATGGCCTTTCCCAAACTAAAGCCATGGGAATACATTCTGTGTTCATGGGTTGGAAGATTTTAATATTTTTATATTGATGATACTCCCAAATTTAACTCAGTCTGTTAAAATTCCTGCTGGCTTTTTTGCAGAAATTGACAAACTTCCTAATATTCATATGGAAATGTAAAGGACCTTGAATAGTCAAAACTATTGAAAAATTTTAAAGTTGAAGGACTTACATTCCCCAATTTCAAAACTTGCTGTAGACCTACAGTAATCAAAACCAGTACTGGCATAAGGGTTTAATGTAGACCAATGGAATCAAATTGAGAATGCAGAAATGTACCAATATATTGATCAAATGATTTTTCAACAAGTATAGCAAGACAATTCAGTGGGGAAAGAATTGCTTTTTCAACAAATAGTGCTGGACAACTGGATATCCACATGCAAAAAAGTATGAACTTGGACTCTTGTTTTACTACATATTTAAAATTAATTCAAAATGGGTCAGTGCTTAAATGGAAGAGCTAAAATCATAGAACTCTCAGGAGAGGAAAAAGTAGGTATAAATCTACATGACCTTGGTTAGGCAGGCAGTGGTTTCTTAGATATGGCACCAAAGAACAGACAACCAAAGACACAATAGATTTTTTGGACATTATCAAAGTTTAACATTTTTGTCTTTCAAAGGATAATGTCAAGAAAATGAAAAGACAGCACACAGAATGGGAGAAAAATCACACAGTAATGATGTGGTATCAAACCAAAGGCTACTCCACATTTCCCCTATCTTTAAATTTCTACCATATCTTATCAGTGCAAGTAATACCCCATATTTTTAGAGAGGTTTGTCTGTGGTCATGTTACCCTCCCTGCCCTCTGCTAACAAAGGAAATGCTAGATACTGCCCTATGCCATTTTAAGGGAAATGAAACTTAAGATATGAACAGCATAAGTAACTGGAGCTTAAAAACTATCGTTTAATAGATGACAGGATAGAAGTATGCTCATTTCACATCATATTGTATAAAGTACTTAATGTTGTTATGTTGTTTAATGTAGGCCCAAGATCTTCAGTACTTCTTTCCATGAGGTAAATAATAGAAAATTCTTTGCATGTCACATGTTTGCTTCCAGCCAATCAGAAGCCAGGATTCTCTTTTACATAATAATAGGGCTTATTGTTTGGAGAGGAGCTGCAAGTGAGATTTACTTTAAAGTTTTGACTGCGGAAATAGACAACCCTCTCGTTTAGTTCCAGGTTTAAAAATGTTATTCACTTTTAATACTTATTAAAGTAACAGCCCTAATCAGTACTTTTACCTTTAATGAAAACACTTAATGGGCTGTGAAGGAAAAATTTTAAAAAATAGGAGGGAGAGAGAATTTTATGGAAATGTCTTCAAGAATTTCATCACCATCTTTACCTATTTTCTTGTCACCTGAGCCAGTTGATTTAGGTTCTGTAACAAGTTCCTCTTGTTCACTGAATGAGCTAGACAATATTTCCCATCTTTTAAGGAAAATATCAACTGATATCAATGAAATTAAAGAAATGAAAACAGCAATTTTGACAGTGGAAGCAAATATTTTTGATCTAAATGTTAGAGTGTCACAGAATGAAGCAAAAATATCATCTTTGGAGGTTAAAATGAATGAATATTCAGCATCAACAACTGAATGCAACAGAGAGTTCAAAGATCTTCAAGAGGAAGTAGATTTTGAATCACAGTCAAGGACTACTGATTTAAAAATAATTGGCTTCCTTAGAAACGTTGAGAAAGGTAAATTCTTGGTGTGTGATAATCGTCTAGATACTCATAGTGCTATATCTTTTCCTGTAACTTGTTCTCATGAGAGGCAGCAAGCCACAAAGCTTGAATTTTTCATGGACCTTTATTAAGACAAATTTGGGCTCTGTGTGATTTAACTTAGCCAGAACTTGGAGAAGTCCATCCTCTTTACTGGATCTCTGAAACAATATTTTGAAAAGATCTATCAGCACAGAGAGATGAAGCAAAAATTTGGAATGTGAGAAAATGATCCTTTGTATCTGTGTTGTGAAATTATTTGTTTTTAAGATTTTATTTATTTTAGAGGGAAAGGAAGGAAAAAAAGAGAGGGAGAGAAACATCAGTGAGGGAGAAACATCTGCCAGTTGCCTGTGGCAGGGGCCCTGAGCAGGGACAAACCCACAGCCCAGTCTGGACCTTTTCACTCTGTGGGGTGACACCCAGCAAATGAATCACACTCATTAGGGTGGGAAATTATTTTAAAATGTATAATTCTTTCATTGTTCATTGTTCATGTTAAAGTGACATGCTGTTTTGAATTGGAAGAGCATTTTTCCTGTAACCTAAGTACCACGTGTCAGTTTCTCAGGCCCCCCCGCAGGAATTCTGATTTGACCAAACAGTATGTCGCCTTTCATTTTCAGGCCAGCTCTTTGAGGTTTACTGTGTTTTTACCACAGTACTTTTGGAAGAAACTAATTTTTATTTTGGCACATCATTAAAGAGTAATGTGATGTAACTTATATTTTAAAAGAAAATAGCTAATAAAATTTTGAATTAAGTGTAGCTTTTAAAATTTAAAAACTCCTTTCAATGAAACTAGGTAGTTTGGCAATTGCATGTTTGCATTGAGTGAGCAAAGACTCCTTGTGAAACAGCCATTAATAGACTCCTAAGAGTTAGCATGTGAGCATCTAATTAACATTTCGGTGGGTAGAACCCTATCCATCACATCCCTTTGTAACTGTACTGTAACACTTTTAAGTCTTCAAGTGAATAATATATGCTAAGCATTGGGCGGGGAAGAGACGAAAAAGCATGATATCCTCTCATCTTTCAAAGTGCTACTATCAAACCGAAGATAGAGAACATCAGTTGTATGTCAGTACTTTGTTCTACAGTTTGACTTATAAAGAAATTATGAGCCTGTTTATAGCTAAGCATCATCCTCTGGGAAATTCAGGTGATTATTTTCATGCTTTAGTAGGACCTGGACTGCACAACAGAGTTGTACATGTTCACTGTTCTCTTTGTATCTGCACAAGCCCGTAGTCTTTTGGGAACTCTCTAACCAGATAACTCTGGAGTGTTTTGTTATGCGATTCCAGGGTCCAGTGGAGTGAGTCATAATGGTCAGAGCCCAGGTGGTGGAGGGAGATGCTGCTTCTGTTGATCTTGGCAGTTGGCGGTCACCTGTCTCCCATGGTGCAAGCTGTGGTTCTCTGCGGCGCCTCCTGTAGACTTTTCCTCTCTTTTACCTTTATCTCCAGGCTTCACCTCCGATCCAGGAAAACTGGCTTCCTGAGGGAGAACTAGGAATGTTGTACATTGCCATTTCTGGTTTAACCTTGAGTACTGGTTTTTGTGTTACGGACATTTGGTCTATAAATATTACTAAATTGGGTTGGCCAAAAAGTCTGTTGCATTTTTTTCTGTATGATGCCTCTAGTAGTGCTTAGTTGTCTTTTAACTTCATTCAAAACAATTTTGTTAGATTGTATTGTGTCAGCTCTCATATCAGTGTGCATTTTTGTAAAAATTCGTGCATTTTTGTGCAGCTATTTTAATAGTGAAGATGGAAGGAGATATGCAACATTTTTGGTGTGTTATGCTTTATTATTTGAAGAAGAGTAACAACGCAACTGAAACCCCCGCCCCCGCCCAAAAAAAGATTTGTGCAGTGTATGGAGAAGGTGCTGTGACTGATTGAATGTGTCACAAGTGGTTTGTGAAGTTTTTTTAGTACCATTGACATTTTGGCCAAATAGTTCTTTGCTGTGGGGCTGTCTTACATGTGGGAAGATGTGTAGCAGCGCCCCTGGCCTCTACCCACTGGAAGCCAATAGTGAGAGACAACTGACATAGTCAGAATATCTAAATCAGTAAAGTTATTGGTGAAAAGTAAAAATGTGTCGTTTATTTTATGGAAAAAACGTAATGGGCTTTTTGGCCAGCTTAGTATTTAAGCTCTACTGTATTTTGCCATATATAATGCGTGCCCATTATACACGGGATTATTATGCCCATGCAATGTAATCATTACACCCATGTATAATGTGCATTCTTATTTTTCTCTCAAAAATTTGGGCACAAAAAGTGCACTATACACAGCAAAATACGGTATATTTAAGACTTTTAAGAATGCAGAAAGATTATTTTGGGCTTAATTCCAGGGACATAGTCATGCTGATATTGTATTTTAAGCTTAGTTAAATTTTAAAATTTATATTCTAGGAACTCAACAGAGGCAATTGTTATCCCGGTTGCAGATTGACCCAGGAATGGTAGAAACTCTGGAGATCAGTCCAGGTTGGTAATAATCTTACATTTTCAGTGTAACCCAGCATTTTTCAGTTGCTGTTTCCATTCTTTGCACTTCATTTAATGTATCTTGTATCTCCTAGATCCTGCCCTAAGATGCTATACTTAGATCTATGAAAATATTTTAAGGGCAGGAAACACGATCTGCATTTTCTTCATGTTACATGGTGTTTGTATTTTTCACCTCATGCAAAAACTCTTTGTTGCCATTTCACCTGGGGCCCTGAAATTTGTTGGCTGCTCACTCCCTCGCTCTAGAGATGACTTGAGTCCCTACCCCTGCTCCTCCTTACCCAGCTTTGGCTATTGCCCTGAGCAGCTGCAGTTTCGCTGGCCTGCTGAACCTGGTCCTCAGAGTTACTTCACTTTAAAACCTCATTGTCAGGGACACATCTAGAAATCATCATTCTTAGAACCACTATAACTTAATTGCTGAAGTCTCTTCCCACCCCTGTGCATGCCTGCACACACACAATGGCTACATCAGGGCTGGGGTCAGTGCTTCATTTATCTGTGCCCAGTGCCCTTGCCGGGTGCATGTGTCATTCCCCGTCAGTGTCTCCTGAACATGTGATGGGAGCCATTGGATACCTGCAGTGTTAAATTCAGAAATCTTATTTCTCGGCTTCCTGCTCTTTCCCCCAGACCTGCCCTTTGTTGGAAGCTCTGGTGCCTTGACCCCTACTTTTCAGCTCCTGACTGAATTTTCTTCCCTTTGGTCAGGATTCTACAATCAACTGTATTCCATGACCCTTTGATGGCCTTTTGTCTCAGAAAGATGTGCTTGTCTGCTCTGAGGGTTACTTTCCACCAGGATGCCAGCTTTACCCAGTTGATGAGCAGTCTCTCATTGCCACACTCAATGTGGCTTCAGTCTCCACCCCTTGTCTGGCTCCTCCCTTCGACCTGTAAAAGGGTTTGGATAGTCTCCGTTCTCGGTTTTGCCCTCTCATCTCCCAGCATTCCATCCTGCTTTCTACATAAGGGTGTTTTCTTTCAGAATGTTTGGCAGCTAAGATCTGTGTATGTTGTATCTGCTTGATCAGCTCACATATTCTTTTTGTTTCCTTTAGTTTTCATTTTTATCCATGGTAAAATAGTTCTAGGAGGCTTATGAATAATTACATCCTTTGCTTTACCTTCTATAATTTTTAAAACAATTTCTGAGAGCCCTTTTATATGTGTATCCTTCCCAGCCCACCCCTTTTTTTAAAACACTTGTTTTGGTTTTATTTCATGTATGCAACACTCTTATCTTACTTATCTGAGGATAGTAAAGGTAGTTCTAGACTTTGAGGCGGAGGCGGGGGGGGTCTGTCTTTCTCCAAGCTGTTTGTTTTGATCACTGTCTTTCATGAAGGAGGTATTCCTCATGTCTGAGGACCCTTAGTTGTCTTATATGTAAGAGTGGTATTCTGGGTTCATTAGTTGTAGGGGCTTTTGACTTCACGTTTGCACATTGATCCGCAGTGAAGAGTGATTTGTCTTGCCTGTCTAGTTTAGGGGCTCCCTGATGTTAGGGTCTTTAGGCCTTTCTTTCCTCCTAGGTCAGTTTCTCTAAGAAAGATCTTTTAAGTAATGGATGGCTGGGAGCTAAGTGGGAAAGGAGACAAGGGAAAGCACCTCAACGTTAATTATTATGTAATGTTTACTCAACAGCTCCCCCCTTTCTGGTTTCAGAACAATGTCACTTTGAGCAGAGCTGGCATCCCTCGGTCCAGAGATGCTCTGTTTGTAGTTTTCAAGAGTCTAAAGCTTTACTTTCTCCAAGGGAGAAAATGGTCAAAGGTTACCAGGAAATCTAACTGCCTTTAACGATTGTAATAATATGCATTTAGTTAATACTGTGGTAGCTTAGCACCTTTCTGTCAGAGACCATGGTGCTTCCTCCTTAGGCATTCCAACAATGGTAAGTGTGAAAGCCTAGCTCCAGTTATTCCCGGCATCTTCAGTGTGGAGGTCGGGGAATAGGTGCCATAAGGATTAGAAATGCAGAAAACAGAACTTGGGAAGAACTAACTGCATCTGAAATGGTCACTGGAACACACGTCTGTTTTGCCCGACGCCCCGCAGAAGGCCCAGGGTCCCCTGTGCTGCCCATTTCTCAGCCTTTGGAGAACCTTGGGATCCACTGTGGATGGCTTCATTATTGGCTTAAGAGCCACGTTTTGAAGATTTACTGTTAGTTTTTCATTTCCAAAATATCATTGTATCTCCTTTCATAATTATTTTCTGTGACGTTTTTTAAGTTAACCCTTGATCGACATTTTAGTGGGGTTTCAGGAGGAAACAAAATGTGTGGGGTCCACCTGCCCTCTTCACGCAGATGTCTCTGTTTCATCTTTCCGTTCTCCTTGACTTGGGCTGCTAACAGTGATCTTGCAGGAGTGACCAGTGGCTCATGTGGCTGTTTTCAGTGTACACTTTTCTAAATTCTGTAGTCTGTGACATGTGAATTCTGCGTTTCCATCAATCTCTGATCCTTGGCTCCCGGGACTTTACTGTCTGTTCTTCTGCTAACTCCTTTTCATTCTTCTTTATCAACTCCTCCTTCCTCTGGTGCTCCTTAGATGTTAACTTTTCCTCATGTCTTGCCCTCAGCATTATTTTTATCTCCTGATTTCTCCCAAGAGGCAAAGTTGTAGGACTGCTTTGCTCAAGAAAGTACAGGGCAGTAAGAAGGAAGGCAGCCGCACTTGGACTAATTTCTGGATTCTGCCTTTGCTAGCATGCGACCTCAGTGAATCATTAAGGACTTTGAGTTGCAAAGTGGTCATCTGTCACATGAGCGGATCCAGTGAGAAGAGAGCATTAATGAATATGTACAATTTATTAAACATTCTTATTTCCCCTTCAGTTTTGACTCTGCTTCTCTTATTTGTCTCCTGTCCCTGCTGCTGGTCAAATCTGAATGGTCAGCTTCTTCCTAAAATATGTGAGAGCCCCACAAAACTGCAAACTAAATAAATCCGAGATTGAGATTTACCTTTTTGCCCCCTTTTGTTTTTTATTTTATTACCTTTATTGAGGCAACACTGGTTAATAAAATACAGGGTGGGGCAGAAGTAGGTTTACTATAGTGAGTATGCGAAAGTTTATTCTTGTATTATTTATTATATTATTTTCCATATGAACAACTGTAAACCTACTTTTGCCCCATCCTGTATAGACTTCAAGTGTGCAATTCTATTGGGTTGGCCTAAAAGTCCATTTAGTTTTTTCCATAAAATAAAAGAGACATTGTTCATGTCACCAATAACCGTTGATTTGGATATTTCGAGTATTTCAGCTGCTCCCACATGATAGAACATTTATTGTTCTCAATTTATTTCTCGATTTGATTGCTATCAACTTCAACTAGTCTACCTGACCATGGAGCATCGTCCAGCGAGAAATCTCCAGCACAGAATTTTGCATACCACTTTTGAGATGTTCGATCAGTCACAGCACCTTCTCCATACACTGTACAACTGTGTGCGTGTGCCTCAGTTGTGTTTTTAACCTTTCTTGAAATAATAAAGCTAACATGGTGAAAATGTTGCACATTTTCTTTCATCTTCAACAGTAAAATGGCTACACAAAAATTCAATTTTGATGAGTTTTTTTAAATGCACACTGATATGACAGCTGTCACAATACAGTCTAACGAAATTGTTTCAAATGAAGTTAAAGACAGCTAAGCAACTAGAACCATCTTATGGAAAAAATTGAACTTTTGGGTCAGCCTGGTATATAATACCTGTATATTGCACTGTGTGTTCACCACCCAATGTTAAGTCTCATTTGTCCCTATATATCTGACCCCATTTACCTTCTTCTACCTATCCCCCCATTTCCCTCCCCTCCGGTAACCATCATGTTGTCTGTGCCAATGAATTTGTGTCTTGCTGGTTGGTTGGTTGGTTCATTTCCATCTTGTATCCCACGTATGAGTGAAATCCTATGATGGTTGACTTTTTCCGTCTGACTTATTTCAGTTAGCATGGTACTCACCATGTTGTTGGGAATGACAGTATTTTATCTTTTTGAGGACCATACAGTATTGTTGTATGTATGTACGTTATCTTTATCCCATCATCTGTTGAAGGACACTTCTGTTGTTTCCATGCCATGGCGTCTGTGTCTTTGCCACCTTTTAGACTGGCTCTCTCCTGTCCTGTTTCCTGCATCAAGCCTCTCTTCCTCCTCTTCCCGCTCCTGGTTTGTCTTTGCCCATCTCTGCAGCCCCTGCAGGGGAGGGCAGGCGTACCCTTCCTTGGGATGGTAGTTGGCAGTATGAGGGGCTAGTGTGATGGGGGTGTGGTTAGAATAGGAAAAGGGGGGGAATCTTTGAACCCAGAGCCTTGCCATCCCTCCCGTGCAGCAGCCTCATGGCTGAGACCTAGGTGGACTCCAGTCCCTTCCTGACACTGCCTCTTTTTCTGAGAACCAATTTAAACATGTTACTTCCCTACTTGGAAACCTCTCCCGGTTATTTATTGCTTGTGGACCAGAGTCCAGGCTCACTGACACAAGATCCTTTAAGCCTCAGCCCGTCTTGCCACTCACCCCCTCGGCACCCCACACACAGCCCTCCGGCCACACTGCCTGTGTGGCCTGTCGCACCGCGTCTCACATTCCTTGCGCCTGTGAAGGCCACTGCCTTTCTCCAGGCGGCGCCCTCTGCCCGAAGTGCTCATGCCCCAGCTCCCTCCCTCCCTCCTCGCTTGGTCCTGCTCATTCCTTTATATCTTTTGCAGTTGTTCATGCTCCGTCAGGTTTTCTTTTCCCGGCTGTAGCTGTTCTGTATGCCCCAATATCTGTTTATACCCCTGGTAGGTCGCCTTTTGGGGCATACTGTTATGAAATTGTGTGTACATCTATTTTCCTTCTCTGTGTATCTACCACATATTCTCAGGTGTTCAGTTTTTTTAGTGAATGAACGTGAATGAATAGTTTGTGAATTTTGGTCTCTTATTTGACCGTTTAAGAGAACTGGAACCCGTTAACTGTAGTCAGCTGATTGCATATTGATAGGTCAGCCCTCTCCATTCTGGGCCTTAAGGCTTGGTATATTTTGTAAAGTAGTTGGGCCTAAGATGCATATTGCAGGTGATGTGAACTGTGGTTATTTGCACTGAAGGTCAGTGTGTTCCCTGCTGTATTTTTAAGACTGCCTGTTCATCCGAACAGTAGTTTTTACAAACAGGCAGAAATTATGGCAGTTGAATACTTACATTCAGGATTTGTTCATTTCTCTAAGTGGTACACTCTGCAGAACGAACAAAACAGATTTTAGAAAGATTTTGTAACAATCCTTGTATCATAATTCTAGGGACATTAGGACTTCTTATCCTAGTGTTTAGAAAATATTGTTGTACTTACAGTAAGTATATATTGTTAATAATATCCCATTAGATGTCTCACACACCAGCGTTCCTGTCCTACAGGCAGGGAGTGCTCAGTGGCCCCGTGGTTATCTGCCGGGTGAGGGAGTGATGCCGCTCTGAACAGATGCTTGCCACAGAGTTGCAGCCCTTGTCCTTAGTAGAACTGCCGTGATTTTCCTTTGAAAGTAATTAGAAATATATAGAAGATTGACATTCTTCTCACATGTGTGATGTTGAGAATGAAGGTATATTCCAAAGTAAACATTTGTGGCCAATTTTTTTGGCTCAGATTACTATGACATGGAATCCATGGTCTATGCAGACACAAGATCATTTATTCTGAAGAAGCCAAAGCTGTCTGAGGAAATAGTAGTGGCATCAAACCAAGAGTCGGGGATGAAGACTGCAGATACCCTTCGGGTACTTTCAGGACACCTTATGCAGACACGGTAGATGGTTTCTTTTTCTTGTGTAGCTAATTGTGTTGATTAGACAGTGCAGGTTAACCATTAGCTCCCGATGCCCTCTCCCCATCCTGGCCCTCAGTGTAGAGTGCTTTTATTGTCAATAGACAGGCCATGTATACTAAGCCAAAGTCAGTTTTCAAAAATTCCAGTTCATCTTTCTTTATCAGAAATCCGTTATACTACAAAGTCAGTCAGGGTATGATTTAGCTGTTAATAAGATTCTTTTCATGTGTGCATCCAGGAAATGAGATTTTAAAAGCTAGGTGATCAAAATCAGGAAGCCTTTCCAGAGAGAGTTAGCTAATTGGGTTGGGATGATTCTTCATGTAGAAAAGTGACCAAATGTTCTAACAAACATACAGATAGTAAAATCAGTGTAAATGTAGACGGCTGGCTATTGAGTTCTGGGAATAGATGCTGACATTTCCGGTCATTTCCACGCGATCCTACAAGGATCCCAGGGATGATGGGGTTAGGGTTCAGGAGGGACGGTCCTTAGTGCAGCCCGGAAGGCGCTGGCGACGGTGCCGCAGCGGTGGGCGTGACCCCGGTGTGGCAGCAGGAATCCGCCAGTGCGGTACCCAGAAGGCCTACAAAGTCTTGTCTTTACTGGAGAAACCACAAAGCAAATTAAGGGAGTGATAGTTCTGCTGAAGAGCACATTGGGAGGCTCAGTTTTTTGTGTTTGTTCCCTAATTCTATGGTATTTTCTATCTATCTGGCAGAGATCTTGTACAACCAGATAAACCTGCAAGTCCCAAGTTTATAGTGACGCTGGATGGTGTTCCCAGCCCCCCAGGATACTTGTCAGATCAAGAGGAGGACATGTGCTTTGAAGGAATGAAACCTGTAAACCAAACTGCAGCCTCAAACAAGGGACTCAGAGGTCTCCTCCACCCACAGCAGTTGCAGTTGATGAGCAGGCAGCTTGATGACCCAAATGGTAGCTTTTCACATGGCGCCGCCCTTGAGAAGGGAGTCTTTGCCGTGTCTGTTTCTCTACCTCGGATGAATATTCGTTGGAGGCCTTGCCTTCATTTATTACTCAGTAGTGGCCACTTTTCTCTTTTCAGACATAACAGCCAGTTAAATTGGAGTTTCTCTTGTGTATGTTGTGTAGATTGGCTGTTATTCCAGTCTAAATGCTGCTCAGCCGTGGAAGCCAAAAAATACCTCTTCTTATGCATGTTAATGATGCATGTTAAAGGGTGAACCATCGTTCTTGACTTCTGTTTACCTTTTTTTAAAAAAGAAACTACTCATTACTTTCCTCTTGTACCAGCAGTAGTCTTGCTTGTAATTAACTTGACAGAAAAACGAATTTGGATTTTGATGCTATTTCTACCTCACTATAATACTCGAGTGGAGTTTCTTGCCTAATCCGTCAAAATCCTTCTTGGAAATTTAAAAAAGACCTTATATATAAATCAGTCTTTAAGCATAGTATTTAGAAGTCAGATCAACTCAGGTCAGGGAGCGACATGCCTTAGGCAGACGCACTTGGCCCCCCGCCGCTTCTCACTGGGTGCCAGTGGCAGGTGCGCACTGCTGCTCGTTTTCCTCGAGGACAGAATAGCTGTGCTCCTCGGACCCCCTCACACTCCCAGAAACAGCTGTGTTGGCGGGGGGTGGGGGGGAGTGGTGGGAGGGGTCGCCAAGTCCTGAAAACAAACAGTATCAAAGGAAAAAAATACTGGGTTTTGAAATTTTTCCAAATTAAAAATTTTTGGCTGTGATATGAAAATACATTACATGCCTTTTTAGTAGCTAAAAATATAATAGCCCTTAGGGAAGAGTTGAGCAAGTAGATATCATTGCCATCTTGAACCGAATGAGCCAGTCATGTAGTGTTACAGTTTTGATTGGTGGAGGAAATTGAAAACGTGATCTTATTAAAAGGAAAAACAACTTTAAAACGGTAAGAAAGGTGGTAGGAGCTGCATCAGGTAGGGCAGAGCTCTTGGCCTTGTGTATTCTGTCTAAAGTGAGAGGAAATTCTGGTGTTTGACCATTTTGGTTTTCAGTTTAGTAGCTTAATTTTTTGGAATGCTAGGGTCTAATTTTATTTAAATGTCCATGTTAGGCGTCATTGATACATGTCAAAGCAGTGACACTCCATAAAACAAGCTGGCAAAAATGATCGCCTGGGTGTCCCACGCCGTGGCCACTGTGGGGACCACGGGGGTGCTGCGGGGCCTCCTGGTCTCACCGCTGCTCCGGGACGAGGCTTTGTGTGGGAGAACGCGGTGAGGCCGAGAGGGGCCTGAGTGACGGTCGCCAGGAGGCTGTGGTCCGTCTTGCTCTCTCCTTCCAACCTGGGAGTTTGGAACTTTGTCATTGCTTTTGATGGCTTTTTGTTCAGTGTTTCAAGGATGCTACCAACAGCAGCAGCTGTTTGAAGCCACCACCACTGGCCATTATGGCAGCACAGATTTTATAGTTTGCAGTAAAATGTGAATTTGCCTCTGAAAATGTAAACGGGAAAACTTTTTAATAGCTTATGAAGTAAATGTGAGGGAAAGCCAGAGTCATGGCCTTTGTATACATGACCTCACAATTCTGTCAGGAAGATACAGTATCCTTATAAAGTATTTAACTTCTTTAATGTGTTTGTGAGTATCTAGCCACTTTACACCACTTTCCAGCCAGCCTGCCCTTGGGCATTCTGTTCAACTTCTTTCACTTGGCCTGAGCCGTCGTGTGTATACCACAGTCTAAAGTATGTTCTTTAGGAGGAAGGTGAGACAGACACATTTTCTATGCAGGGGTGACATAAAAACCATTTAAATTTGGGGAAAACAACTCTGGCCCTACCAGATTTTAATTGTGACTAAGGATAATTTTAATTTAAAGTAGCATGGAGAATTCATCTATCAGGGATACTCATAATACCTCTCTTAACGATTTTCCCAGCGGGGCTTTGGGACTGGCCTCCCCTGCCTTGTTACCCTGGCATGGAGACCGCGGCTGGGTCACTGGGGCAGAAGTGCTCAGAGTCCGAGCTGCGGCTTGGTTAGGTGTTGATTGGTTACCTCTTGCATTCTTGTTTACATTTAATCACAAATCCCTAAGGAAGACGTTTTCTCTTTGTGTAAATGAGGAAACTGAAGTTGAGAGAGGTTAGATGACACTTGCAAAGTGTCTAAGCCACGTTTGAACAGCAAACCTCAGGTAAGAGGACTAGAGAGACGTCATCAAAATGATGTCCACTTTCATGAATGTGAATGAAAAAAATAGGTAACGCCCATGGCGCCATTTCAGGGAGCGGCTAGGATGCCTTGGGCCAAAAGTTGGCAGCTTCTTAGGCCTATCAGGTGTAACTTTATTTGGTTTATTCTGTTTTAAATTTGACTTGGTTGCCAGCATTTAAAATGTAGGTGTTGTGTGAAAACATCTTTGGCTTTGCGAGTCAGGAGACAGCCTGGCAGCGTGTGTCCGGCTTTCCGAAGCCACGGTGACTGACATTGCGGTGGGCGGGGCCTGATGCGTGGGGGGTGGTGAGCCCATCGGTGTGCGGGCACGTGTCTCCAGCTGTGGTCGCCCGCGCCTCTTCACACTGGGGCCATCTGCCACTGGTCATCTTGCACCAGCCAGGTGCACTATTAGGCAGTCTGCTGGGAAGTGACATTTGTGTCCCATTTTAGGCACAGATCTTTTCCTCACTCTGTAGACATTGGTGTGGGTTTATCACCTGGACTTAGGAAACTGCGTGTCCCCAGTGAATGGGGAGACTTTGGTAGTCTTTTGGTACTTGGACCGCTGGTAGTCTTGCCTGAAGGAGAGTTAGCTCATGTTCTTTTTCAGCTTGTGTTTTCAACTTGCATTTCATTTTATTGGCTCTCTGCTTGACCTTCCTCCCTCTTCTGTGTTTTACGTCAGCCCTGAAGTAGTTCTGGGAGCGCGGGTTTCTCTGGGGGAGCCCGGGCTCTGGTCGCAGCGTCACTGTCCGCTCTCTTTCACAGCGAGAACTGCAGTCTGCTTCCTGGGCGTCGTGTGCGGCCTCTGTGTCCAGTGTCCGTCAGATTATTTGCACTCCTTTATTATAAGACTCTACACATAGAAGATAAGATTTTAAGACTGGGTTTTGAGGAAGATTTAACATTAATGAGATACTTCTAATTTCTTTCCCTTGGTAGCTGAGATGAGTGAACTGAGTGCGGCGCAGAAGCCAGAAAAACTCCTGGAGCGCTGCAAGTACTGGCCCGCCTGCAAGCACGGGGACGAGTGCGCCTACCACCACCCCGTGTCACCCTGCAAGTGAGTAGCGGCCGGCAGACTCTGGCTTTCGGGGTGATTTCTATCACCTCGTAGCTTATTTTGTTTGTTCTTTATGGTCAAATTTGAGTTTCGTGACTAAACGCACTGACACCGTGGCCCTCCTGAACAGCGCACGCCTGTGGCTGAGGGGTGGGGTGAGGGAGGTGGCGTCTTCGAGCCTCAGACTCACGATGTGCCGGAGCTCCGGGTTTTCTTCAGGAATCTGTGCACTTAAGCAGATGAATATACGATGGCTGCCCAGTTCGTGTGTGTTGTTCGTACACATACACAGATGTTTAAAGCATGGGGGGGGGTGCGGAATAAGCAATAGGAAATGAACAGACATTTTGGACTTGGGTATAATTTTTCCTTATCAGCTGGCCGATCAATGGAATGAGCTTTGAGAGATGGCTTTTAGGTATTTATTTATTTATTCGGTCCTGCTGGTGAAATCTCTCCATGCTTTGGGAGAGTTTGATGTGGCAGTCGTATTGGGTGTCTATACAGAGAGATCGTGGGTTGGATCCCCTTTTTTTTTTTTTTTTTTTTTTTTTTTGGTGGCACAGTGCCTTGCTCATATATTGTGCTCACTGTAGAGTATACTTCATGAAATAGTATAAACATATATCTTAATAATAGAGTAAGTGGTGTGAATCTCATCAAGTCTGAGTTGAAAAGCTGTTATAACCCCAGGTGTTAGAATACAACAGTTGTGTCCTGTTTTGATATATGGGCTCTATTTAAAACTGGAGTTTCCTGCTTTTGTTTTTTGTCTCAAAAGTAGTGATAGAATATGTGTATAAGGAGCCCCTCTACAAAAAAAACAAACGCATCCCTGACCAGGTTGCTCAGGGGGTTGGAGCATTGTCCCTTGTATACCAGAAAGGTGGCGGGTTTGACCCCTGGTCCAAGGCACGTGCCTAGGTCGCGGGCTCAGGCCCTGGCTAGGGTGTGTGCGCGAGGCACCCAGTTAGTGTTTCTCTCACGTCAGTGTGTCTCTCCCACCCCACCCCAAAATCAATGAAAATGTATCCTTGGATGAGGGTTTTTAAAAAATGTTTTTAAAAGTAATGCGTTGAGAATGTTAAATATGAATATGCTTTTTTTATAGAGCTTTCCCCAATTGTAAATTTGCTGAAAAGTGTTTGTTTGTCCATCCAAATTGTAAATATGATGCAAAATGTACTAAGCCAGATTGTCCCTTCACTCATATGAGTAGAAGAATTCCAATCCTGCCTCCAAAACCAGGTTAGTGACTTTGTGAACTACTACATTTGGGTAATTAAAAAAAATAAAATAAAAACTGACATTTTGTGACTATAAGCTGAATTAAAAAGAAAAAAAAAGGAATTGTTTCACAATTGTATCAGTTAATGTAACCAGTCTTCAAAGAGGAAGTATATGCATACTGTAGTATTCTTAAGATTTTGTCTCGACTAATGAATATCTCATCATTATAATTAAAAAGTGGTTCCCATAAAAACATCAGAACGCATTAAATACTATTTTGCCAAATAAATTTGATTAATATTTGCCCTTATTTTTGCTAGCAGTTCTACCACCACCACCATCTTCCAGTAGTCAGCTCTGCCGTTACTTTCCTGCTTGTAAGAAAATGGAATGTCCCTTCTATCATCCAAAAGTAAGAACTTTGATTTTCCCCAAGATGAATTTAGTAGTAACTTCTCAGCTGTGAGACCTGGAAGATATACGCGAATTGAATGTCTTCCCTGCCCTTCCATCTCTGGAACTTCTTTTTTGTTAGAGTTAACTTGATGGTGCTTAAGATCTTGAAGGTATTCCTCAGCGTCATTCAGCAGGTCTCCTTAGGCCAAGTGGTATGAAACTGTTGAATGTTAGTATCCTCGGCTCTAAGGAGAGTAATGCTCGCCCTTGCTAGTTGGTTTCCCTTTTTCTCTGCCCCCTGGGCTTGGGGTTGGGTTGGGTTGTCGTCCCCCCACCCCCACCCCCCCAGCTCCAGAACTGAGATGCTGAAATCCAGCAGTAATGTGTGTCGCTTACTGCCATGCCGGCTTACACTGACGATTTCAACCGTCCATGTAGTAAAGACTGGTTGATGTCTCCACCTGCTCAGTTGCTCCGTGAATGATCTGAAATAGCAGCCTGAAGACCATACAAAAGGCCTTCACTTCCCCAACTGCAGTTGGGCAGAGATGAGAGTACTGAGGGCAGAATGTAAGGATGTTAGGCAGGATGTGTAGGGTGATGATGACATTGATTAGAAGTCGTTTATTATATGCTAATGTTCTTTTTGAAGTTTGACTTGGATTATTTTTTAACTAGGATTATTCTTTAGGATTGTGTGTGTGTTGGGGTAGGGGGCGGGTGGTTCTTTTCCAGGTTCCAGTACTAGTAAAATGAAGTGTTACACACCCATCTCCCCCCCACAATTAATAGTAGTGTGAGCTGGTTATTTGTGATCGCAGATTGCTGTTTTTATTAGCTTTGCACATGTTAAAACTATTCTCTCTCTCCTTAGCACTGTAGATTTAATACCCAGTGTACAAGACCTGATTGTACGTTTTACCATCCCACCATTACTGTGCCACCACGACATGCCTTGAAATGGATTCGGCCTCAAACCAGGTATAGTTAGTTTTCCTAATGTCATTTCAAATATTTTTCTAATACGTGGTTTCTTAAATGTATAAGCATACAAATTTGGAGTAAACGATCACTTTTTCACTGATACTTTTAAAAGGGTCCTCTGGAAAAATGGTACACTACCTAAACCAATTTTATCTAGCAGTGGCTTATTTACCTAGATTATCTCCAGATCTGATGTCTTTTATAACCTCTGAACATACTCGAAGGACTTCAAGATTACACTGCTTATAAATCTCACATCCATTTTCTTAGATGTTAGTAATTATGAAACACTGAAAGGAAGTTTCAGAGCATTTTAATGTTGCCTGTAAATTTAAATGTTATCTTTTATGTACCTTACATAGTTTTTCTTTTAAAATCTGGTAATTACATAATAATCTGTATAACATCTGAAAATACTTCTTAGTTAAGGTTATGTGGTATATAGAGATGCAAAGCAGTTCATTTAAAACATTTTTTGGTTTTTGTTTATTCAGTGAATAACACCCAGTCCTACCTGGCAGAAGATTGTGAAGTTTGAAAGTTCCCATCTACTGATGAAAGATTCTATAGAACTTGTCAAATCTTTGAAACTTGGAATATATTGCTTTCACAATATGAAGTTTATTGCCTATCTGAAGTATCTAATTTTTCACGTTTGTAAGTTCATTACGTGGTTTTAACATTGGGTGTTTTGTTGTTGTTTGCCTTGTTTTGACTATGGAAAGGAACAGTTTAAGGAAAAACTAAATTCTATTAAAACACGTGGCGTGTTTGTACATTGCTGTTTCAAGTATCAGCATGGACAGCGTGGTGGTACTGTCAGGACTGATAATCCAGTTTGGGGCTATACATTGCTCTGTGTGTGGAGATACAGTCAAAGGAGCATCCTTATTCCAAAAGTTAAGACTGCTGCTTTCACTTTTTCCAGGGATTATGTAAGTTCATAATCCACTAAAAACAGGAGTGGCCTGGAGTGCTGAAGTGGCTTAAAAGAGTCCATCCAACTTTTTAATTTCAAGTGATTTAAAGTTTAAAAAGTATGATAATACAGGCTTCTCAGGTTGCATGTTGCTTTGGTCAGTGGTTCCCAAGTAGCTTACTTCACCTTCTGGGTAAGGATGAGTGAGCTGGGCAGGGAGGGTGAAAACAGCTGGAATGGCAACGGCAAAAAAAACTCCAAACAGTTCCTTAAAATGTATTCATTTACTGTTAACATATGCTTTTAAAATAAATATTTTGGGAACTACATTATCACAAAATTATACAAAATTTTTTACAAGTATATATACATAGGTATCAGAGAACAGACTTTAAACTCACAAGATTATATTCTCCCATTCTGAAAAACATTCTTGGAAGTAACTCCACAGAAAATAGTTACTGAAGATGATTTTTTTTAAGTGTAGAAACTAGATTTCAATAGTGTATTTTAAGTGACAGACTGTAATTACAGAGAGCAGATGGATAAATTGCAAAATAGGACTAAAACTTTTGGACTACTGAATTCAGTTCTGTGTTTTTAATTTTTTTAAGGCAAGAAGTGTCATATACTTTAGAATTAAACAGATCACTGATTTTAAAGACTTGACGTACAGTTTTTTAAAAAGTACAACTAAAAGTTGGTTAGAAAAATGCAGATTAATGCAAAAGAGATAATAAAGACGCAAGCATTCTGAGGACCAAATTAAACCTAACTGTAAAAAAAAAAGTTCTCAGTGACTTCTGCAGTCACATACCCAAGAGATAATAAAACATGTGTGTGGAAGTGCGTGTTTAAAAGCCTCAAGCAGCGGTCTTTGTGTGGCCATTGCTTGTTCGTTGGGAGAAGGGTTAACCGGTTATTAAATGGTCTGTAAGTTGCACTGGGCTGTGCCATTGGAGGAAGGACAAAGCGCGCAGGGCTGTCATGTAGTGGCTGAGGCTCGGGTGGTAAGACAATCCCAACGCGTCCTCAGACGTGCTCCGTGGAATGTAGGGCATATTCATTCCAGTGTTAGTTACTTGAGGTGCTTTACATCTCTGCAGAAGAAATTTATTTTAAAATTGTATTTCCAGAAATTTAAAGACCTTTAGTATCATTTGTAAATTGTATATCACTTGTAAATGGTATATAGTTGCATTGTCATAATTATACTATGAAGACCATGGTTCAGCTGTTTTACAAGGGAATAACATGCTAAAATTGAACTTTTTTGCTACTTGATAGACATTGCCTGGAAATACATGTAATAGTTTTAGTCTTTTTTTTTTCCAGTTGCTAAGGTTGACTCTAAAACATTTGTTGGATAACTTGGTCTAAAATAAACCACTATCAAAAAGGGTCACAGAGAAGGAAGGGCATGAGTGTGGCTCGCAGTGAGCAGGGCCGGCACCAGAGTGCAGTGGCTTGCGTGTACCTACAGCAGCAGGACTGGAGGTGCTGGAAGTGTCAGGTTACAGATTCAGCAGCCTCAGCCCACACACGCTTCTCTGGGTTAAAAGAGAGAAACAGGTTATTCGCCTTCCCTTAGTGTGTGACAGCTGAAAAAAGCAAGGTGGCCTTGGGATGGCTCCTTAATTTCAACATGACCTTTACTTGTGAAACTGACAACAATGATTAAGGCTGGCTTATCACGTTCACCACTTGGAAGAGCAAAAATGCAATGGAAACAACTTTATCCTGTATAATTTCTGTGCTTCAGGTTAGGAGGGCTTCTACCTATGCTGTAATGGAAATGGAATTTTTCTTTAGCCAAAAGCTAACAAATTTGACTGTCAGCAGTCTCAAAAATGGAGGGAAAGGATGTTTATGGGGATTTTTTTCCCTTTCATTTATTGACCACCCCTTTATAAACAGACATGTGAAAAAAAATGTAATATTAGTGTATTCTAAAATTTGGCTTTATTTAGAATATAGTGATGTGAATAATGAAAGAATATGATCTCATGTTTCAAGCCTCTTAAACACCTTTAATCAGTCCTCAGACACAGCTATTCAAAAATTTAAACTGACCAGGTTCAATCACTGGTCAGGCTTTCTGTAATATAATTCAGCCATTTCTGTTTTTAGTATTTACAAGGCATTGGACGTAGAAAACTGAGCCGATTTCCAGAAACTTGAAGGGATCTATTATGCTACAAAGGTAACACATGAAATAAATATTCACAGGACCAAGAGAGCATCTTAAACTTATCCACACTTAGAAAAATATATTTTTAAATACCAGTCTACATAATTTCCATCTTCAGTAAAGTACAGACAGCCTAAACAGCAAATTCCTGAATGGCAAATACTGATCTTTGGCAGCATTTAAAGTGAATAGGAATAAAAACTTAAGAGTTCAGCCTTCATCCACCAAAAAAGAATCAGACAAATTTTACAAGTGAACTTGTATTCATTCCTTTTGGAAGTTGGCCTGTGGGGTGGCACACATCTAGCTAAACAAATTTTTCAATTAAAAAAAAATGCTATAAAAATTTTATTTCAAGAGTTAACTAAATTGTGTAACTTTGTGAATTTAATTTTTGTTTCTATGAGACTACATCTTTAAATATTCAGTATTCTCTCCCAATTAAATACTATTGCTATTTAAACCCTTAAAAAAACTATACACAATTGGAAATCATTGTTCATCATACTTTTTCATTGATGAGGCTACACTCATTTTAATTTTTCAAATATAGAAATGACTTCTGAACATAAAGCTTAACAGCTCAAATATGAAAAGTAGCAATCATATACTATCTTGTCAATGCCAGGAGAAAACTCTCCCTTATCAAAAGGGCTTTCATTAATGCTTAAGAAGTAGCACATCCTCCAGTGAAGCTTGTACATGTTTCTGCAGGGAAAAATAATGTTTGCCTTTTAAAAACATCCTTTAGGGTGATGGTGTGTATTTCTTTCCTTATGGAAACACATGATAAACTATTTCATCAAACAGTGACACTTGAAAATAAAATAAAAATTCTAAAAGGAGTTTTGCTAAAATGAAAATTATCCAAGTTGGGTTTTTTAAGGTTTTGGGTTGTCTGAGGAGTGCTGTACCCTAAACTTCCCTAGCAGGTCTGCCAACTTCGTGCACACCCCCCCTCCCCCCAAACTGGGGATTGGCTCTCCCTATCCAGTATCAGTTCCTCCTTGAAATGTAATTATCTGGCAGTGTATGGTTATGGACAGTCACCCAGTGCATATAATAAATACTCTGAATGTATCAGTCTTCTACTTTGATGATTCTGGCATACATCCCTGTCCCCATCTTAAGTTAGCACCACTTGACTTTTCCCTCTTCTGTTATTCTGGTTTCTCAAAGCTGTTAGTTTTTTATAATCTTCTCAGCATCCATATCCTTCAGTGAGGCGTATGCACACATCTCCAGACAAACAGACTGCAACCGGAGGGAAAACTGCAGTGAGTTCATTACAGTTCTGACTTTTCAAAACATACTAAGTTTCTCAATTGAGCTTTCAGGTCATGCACATACAAATTTTTTCCTCATTAACTCCTTTTATCCTGTATTTAAATATTAGTGTGCAGCTCCAAGGAGCCATCTGGTCATGCTACCTATAATGTTGACGACTGAGTCCGGAGACTGAAACTAGAAGTAAAATTAAATTTCTTTAATAACTAGTAAAGACAGTTGGCTCTTGGCCAAAGAAAGCTACCTACCTGCAGTCATCACCTCCAGCACTAATAACATGTCGGTCACCACTGGTAAATCGAATATTTGTCACATGGGGTGAGTGACCCAAGAACCTTTTGTGCTTTGCCTAAAAGAAAAAAAGAAAAAGCTCAAGGTGTGTGAGGCACACAAAAGTCAGAGGTTGCTATAAGGAGCCATGATTTTCCATCGCCAGGGTGTGGAGAGAGGAAGCAGTCAGGACCACAGCCAACGATCCAGCGCTTTGTCCGAGTGAGTGATGGATCTGCGCTGAACACAAACCAGGGGTTCCTCTAAGGAAAAGCATTTCAAACAGTAACAGATAAAGGTTTGCTGGAAAGCAAACTGCAGTTTTATCAGAATAGTTTGCAAAGATGGAGTTACTTCAGAGCAGGGGATGTAACTTCTAATAGCTGTTATTTCAGAGTAATGGATTTAGGAAGTTTGGGGAACATTTTAGGAACACAAAGTACTTTGAAAGCAGGAGACAATAATACATTTTGGCTAATGGGTGGGGAAAAGTACTAATGATTAGACATCTAAATTGGAAATATATAAAATACCAGACCAAATACTTACAAATTTTTCAGGACATGGGAAGTCAAATAACTTCACCATGCCAAAGTCGTCTCCTGTTACAAGGCTGATTCCTGAATGAGATACGCAGGCACAGTTGACGTCAGCTTTCTCGGCGTGTCTCGACCAGATTCCCAGGACTTCATTTCCTAGGATACTAGAGGGAAGGAATGAAAGAAAACACTCCATGGCAAACACATATAGGTTTGCCACACTGAAAAAGTTTTCTTGGTAATTAGTCTCTAAGTGGCTAACTGTATTTTTTTAAAATACAGGAAGTAAATTGTGTAAGGTCAATTATCTGGAGTCCTGTGTTTCACCTGGGATGGTAACCCTTCCCTCTTAGAGAAATTTTATAATTTTAAGGGTACATACACTAACTGCTTTAATAAATTACTACTATATGAGAGCTGGTTTACAAAATAGTGATGCTTGTTCTACAGGAATTTGATGGCTGTTATAATTTACATTGATTAAAAAGATGGATATGCCTGATTACCTGTTATACAGCTAGCAAGTTTGAACAAATTTTGTAAGGTTTCATTTCTAACATCTGCAAGATAGCATTCATTTAAGATAGAGAAATAATACAACTGCCTAACAGTACCCAATATATGTTTTTATTGTCTCTCATTAAACCTACTACGTTAAAGGAAACATGAGGCATCTTTAAAGTCATAACTTTGACATCCTTTCTTTAAAAGAACCAATGATGGAGCCTGGAAATACAGGCAACCAAAAGCGGTCTCAGGGTGAGCACATCATTCTCCCCTTAGGAAGAATGGAAGATACCGTAACAAACAGAACTCAGTTACTATCCCCTAGTGGAATGACTGCCTGTTCTGAAACAGGATGCTCCTAACTGACCGTCAGTCAGGTCTTCCCTTCTGAATGTATGAAATGTTTACCTAGTCCACGTAGCCCAAGTAATTCTGTCGATGGCAGCTGGATCCATCAGATGTCTCCCTGAAGGCACTTCGTAGACATGCCGTTTATAGCAACCAGTGGAGACCTTTCATCACATATTAAAATGGGACAAGAGCTCTATTACGTGTGAGGCAAAATCCAGAAGTATAGTACACTAGCAAAGTGCTACTGGGTTTACATTTCTAACTGCTAAGAACGTAGAAGATGAGTACAAAACTTGTACAAAACAATGGAGGAAAGGCCTGAAGAATGGAATAATAAAAGAGTATGGAGACAATGAATAGTAAATGGCAAGAGCTTGGAAGCTCTGGAACTCAGGAGTTCTAAATACACGTTCATTTCCAAGACGTGAAAGGACTGTAACTGGATATACAGGACTAGTACTGTACCTGGAGGTACCTACTGTCTGCAGAGAAGTCCATTTGAATGACGAAGCTTGGAATGTCCCTGCAGTAGCTGATTCTGTTAAGGGTGGGGCCCAATGATAGGTCATAAAAATCCACAGAGTTCTCACTAGAACCCACTGCCAGAAACTGGGAATCTGGACTAAACCTGAGTATGTAAAAAAAACATGTAAAAGATGCATTCGGTGACATGAAACAATATAAACAATTATTTTAAGACTTGAGTTTTCTAGCTCTCAAAATAAATGTGTGATGGGCGGTTCTGGGGGGTGGGGACAGACAGGAAGCTTGTTGGCGGGCGCTTGTTGGCAGTGCTGGAGCATCAGCCCCAGTGCCTTGCGGCCCTGTCAGCAGATGCTCACTTGCTGACAGCAGAGGAGAGGAACCAGGTTACACCTGACCTTAAAGAGTAGAATACTTGAAATTAAGAGAGATGCCATCTACAAAGAGTTCTTCAAAGATTTTAGTTTGTCTTTATGTCCCAAGTTGCTCTACAAGCAGAGAAAAAGAATCGTCACCAGGAATGGTTCAGTGTGTACAACAAGGTCCAGATAACTCCTGTGTCACCTGACTGTGGTCAGCTGACCAAGAGAGACATGAAACTGGTCAACTTTATTGAAAAAGCAGATGCTTCTATGTTATTTCATCTTATATCTCAGGTGGAATACATTTTGGAGGTGATTTACATGAACTTAAGTTGTAAATTTAGTAGTGGAATCTAACGAACAAAGTGAACTAACAAGCAAAACAGAGACAGACTCATAGACCAGGTTTACAGATCTGGGGGAGCCGTGTGGAGGGACAGAGCAAAAAGGAAACACAGACAACAGGGCAGTGACCGCAGCGGGGAGGGGTGGCTAGAAGTGGTAGAGGGTTGCGGGGGAGATAAATGGTAACGGAAAAAAACAAGATGATGAACTGTTTAATAAAAATTTAAAATATATTTAGTTCACCTTTATACAATATTTTGTAAAATCAGTGCTTAAATACAAAATAATTTAAATTTGAAAAACATGGCCTCAGATTTATCTGATAAACTAATTATGTATACTCAGATTATGTTTGTGTTAAATGAAACAAAACGCTTATATTTTACTTCAATTTTTAAATTGTTCCTGAACTTTAATTTCCTAATTCCTTTAAAAAATGTTTTTTAAAAAAGCCACTAACAATTATTTAATTACTAAGTCACATAATTCAGTAAGAAAGGATTCTCTCATCTGGAAAGATCGTGTCTTAACAGCGAAGAAAAGAGACCAGCTTAACTCAGGCCAGTGACATTACTTGTGGCTTGGAAGATTTTAAAAGACAAAGTACTATTGTCTACTGATCATGGGAAGCAGTATTCCACAGTCAGCCTTGTGAAACTGTCCACGAGTTGCAGAGGTAGGGACCTTAGGGACCTGGGGGAGCTACGGGAAGCCACTGTCACTGTTACATACTGAGGTTCTGAGGAAGGTTTCATTTGTGAAATGGTTTTACTGGGGAAGAGTGGAAGATTTTGACAGACCTGGATTCAATAATCTTATCTCGATTACATACAAGTGCTCAAATGGTAGCCATTGGTAAAAATAAAGGTTCAAGGAAAGTTTAAATTAATTCAGACTCTGGGTCATCGCTGATGTTTAGCGAGTAGTAAATGAATGAACTAAGGGCCCAAATGAAAGAGAAGTGAGAGACGTTTGGGGTTTTAACTTTAGTTTTCCTGGCTGACAGGAAGTCCTTGGCAGGAGGACCTCACTGGACATGTCCAGCGTGATACTTAGTAAACACTCCCTGGTACTTGCGTTATAAGGCACTGGGGTTGGTGCCCAGCGGGTCCATAATTTGCCAAGGAGTAAGTATACAAACAGCGGTGTTT